TTGCCAACGAGCGAGTGTATGATTTTGGTTTGTAAGCGCTCTGAACATATTCCTACAAATGATGTCCAAATATGATATCCTCTATATAATTCACTCCAAGAAGGGAGAACATGAAATTTCCCAAGGGCCTACCCGGCGATCGTTGAACAAAGGAAAACATGCTCACACCATGCTTGCAACTGCTCAATACCTTTCTGACATATTCTTCTGGACCCAGGAGTAACCTAGGAATGAAAAGGGTGCCCTTTTTGGTTTTAAGCGGATTTTAGGGAACCCCAACCCTAGACAAAGGAAATGAGGGCCAACTCCGGGTCCTAGTTTTACATTCCGACAATAGTTCGCAGTGTCCTTGTGCCGCCTGGTGCCGTTCTTGTATGTTGCCAACCAACCCCCCTACAAACTCAACTTAGTGGGTTGTTACCTCCCCTAAACCAGAAAACTCAACTTCGTGGGATGTTACCTCCCAGGTCTTAAGCCTACACGCATGAACCTTAAACACGGCAATGCTAACCCCGAAGCAGACAAGAATTTGAAGATCCTAGAAGAGGGTTTAGGGTTCTAGACCCAACGCAGCACTACCCGAACCTCGAGTTTCCTAGTGCCTCTTCGGGGGGAATGAAGGAATTAGACCCCCCCCCTAATTACAGAATAACTTGTTACAGGCTGCCCAAAGGGCATATAAGGTATTGTACCGGACCAGTCGGGTTTCAAGCGTCTTTATGCATGGTTTAGGGCGGTCTATGAAGATCAGGTTTGAGAGTAATATAGGGCTCGGAATAATTGCTCATAGTATTCCCTTATGGTCGCTTGATAGTTGTTCTATAATAAACCCCCACCCAAGCAAAAACCTGCTCCCTATACTGGGCCCCCCCAAAAAAAACTATTCTAATTATTCAGGGTCCTACATGACCCTTCGTTGCGATTTCCCGCCTCCCGCCAGTCAAACGGGATCCTTGGCGGAGGGCAGGGTTTAAGGCTCAAGGTTTAGGGTCTAAGGTTTAGGGTTTAAGGCTTAAGGTTTAGGGTTTCAGGTTTAGCGTCTACCGTAGGGTTTAGACTCTAGGACGCGTCTCTTAGCACGGGAGTCGTCAAGTTCGCTTCCCTGCAGACCTTCAAGGTTATGCGGCCACGCATGGTGATGGGCGCAAACCCCAAGTCCGAGAGTCTAAACCACAGAAGGGCTCCCCATACTTAGACCCTTTAATTTAAAGCCCTCAACCCTTCAAACCCCCAAACTGAAACCCTAATCCCTTGAAGCCAAAAACCCTGCAAGTTGAAGCGCATCCTGAACACTATAAACCCCATAAGCACCATAAACCCTAAACCCCAAGAAACCCCAGAAACCCTGAAAAACGTAAACCCTAAACCCTAAACCCTAAACCCCTATATAAACCCTAAACCCCAAACCCCAAACCCCAAACCCCTAAACCCTAAACCCCTATAAACCCTAAACCCTAAACCCCAAACCCCTAAACCCCTACAACCCAGAACCTGGCGGCTGAGACAGAGACTCGACGGGCATTTTGAGGGGACGCCGCTGGCCCCCACCTTTTTGCCCGGAGCTTTCAGAGTATTTTGCTTAGGGCTACAGCCCATGAACCTTATGTTAGGGTTTAGGGTTTAGGGTTTAGGGTTTAGGGTGTAGGGTGTAGGGAGCCTTCTTTGGGGGTTGAAAGTGGCTTATATGGGCACCTCAGGCCCAAAAGAATGGGAATAACATGAAGGTCCTTTGGGTCCTCGTATAGGGTTGGTGTCAGGGCTGATAAGGTTAGAGGATGTAGAGGGCTGAAGTTAAGGGTGTATGGCTGATGTAGTTTGGGCTGTAGGCCTTCGGCTTCAACGGTTTGGGGTTATCATGCAAAGCCTCAGAAGTCTCATCCTCCGCCCCCCGGTACCTTCTAGGTAAATTGGCGACTGGTGAACAGAGCTCCGGGTATGACCGCAATGATCCCCTCAAGGGCTCCCAGACCCAATGCTTTAACCGGGTTGGCCTTTAAACCCTCTGAAAAGTATTTATATACTGTCCCTTAAAAAAACAAAAAAGAAATTTAAAAAGTCCTAGTTAAGACCACATACCTAGATGAGAGAAGCTTCTCTCAAACCCAATCATTAAGGGACATTCCAAAATCATTGGTATAGTACATGGTCCCTTAATATGGGCACTTGACAGGGGACCCCTTATATATCACTTATAGACTCAAAAAAACCTTCAGAACACTTTAATGGAGGTAAGGGACCATATTAATGGACTATGTAGGTCCCTTACACACAAGTCCCCCCCCCCCCCCGCCACACCCAAACTCCTGAAATCGCGGTCCGGAGGTTTTCGGAGGCCCCCAAAAAGGTCCAGGCACCAAAGCCACCCCAAAAAAATGTCCCAAGCCCTAAACCTTGACGAACCCTCTTCTCGCTGAGCGAGAAACCCTAAACCCCAAAACCCAAACTCCTAAACCCTAAACCCTCAACCCCTAAACCCCAAACCCTAAAACAATACACCCCTAGCCCCCAAACCCTGAACCCCCGAACCCTAAAACCCTCAAACCCTCTAAAACCCTAACAACCCTAAATCCTTAACCTCAAACCCTAAAGCCTTGAACCCTAAACCCCTAAACCCCTAAGCCCTAAAAACCCTGAATCCCTAAAACCCTGATCCCTAAATCCCTAAACCCCTAACCCCTAACCCTAAACCCTAAAACCCAAAAAGCCTAAAAGCCCCCAAAAAATGCCCTAAAACCCTAAACCCCTAAACCCCCAAACCCTCAAAACCCAAAAACCCTAAACCTAAACCCTAAACCCCTTACACCCTCAAAGGCGCCTCTGTCGGCGCAGCTCCAGGCGCACTCCGCGCAGCTGAGCCCCAGGGGCCCGGGCGGCGTAGGGGTTGAGGGGGTGTTTAGGGTTGAGGGATTAGGGTTGAGGATTGAGGGTTGAGGGCTTGGGGTTTAGGGTTTAGGGCTAGGGGTTTTGGGTTTTGGGTTTAGGGATTATTGATTAGGGTTTAGGGTTTAGGGTTTCGGGTTTAGGGTTTAGGGCTAGGTGGTTTAGGCAATGAGGGTTTAGGCTAGGTGGTTTAGGGATTAAGGGTTTAGGGGTGAAGGGATCAAGTTGAGCGTTCAGGGCTAGGGGCTTAGTTTAGGTTTCGGGGTTTTTGGGTTGAGGGAGTTAGGGATTCAGGGGTTTTCTGGGCCCTAAACCCTAAACCCTAAACCCTAAACCCTGAACCCGAAACCCGAAGCCCTAAACACTAAACGCTAAACCCTAAACCCTAAACCCCAAACCCTGCTCGATTCTTGTTTCCGTCGCGATGGGCATGGAGGGGATCTGCGCAGCCTTCGGCCTTTCTTGGGGGGCTATATGGGGGCCCGAAGTTCCAACCCTGCGGCTTCACAAGCTGTTTCGGGGTTAGGGGTTTAGGGTTTTAGGGTTTAGGGTTTAGGGCTTAGGGTTTAGGGCTTAGGGTTTAGGACTTAGGGTTTAGGGCCAGCAGCATAATCCCCACACTGTAGGCTCTACACGAAGGCTTAGCTAAGGAATCCGGCCGTCCAGAGGAGTCGTGCTTCCAGCGCTGTTGGGCTCGCTGGGTCCACCAACTCTTCGATCAAGCGTCTGGCCTCACTCGACTGAGACGATCGGACCAGCAGTGGGCGCGGCACTGTCTTGTCCTTTGCGTCAGCGATTGACGACTGCCTCCAGCCATTTTGCTGCACCAGCAGCATTCCAGGGCTCTTCCACCCCCTTCTTGTTGCGAAGGATGACACAGTGTTCTTACTTAGAAGTTAGGATTACGGGGCATCAGACTCTATCACTCTATCCCTAAACCGGGTTTACATAGCAGATTCCGGGGAGGGCAGCAGAATAGAGCTTCCTGGTCCCAAGGTCTGGCATCCTCCCTAGACAGATGGACTGGGTGCCCAAGTACCTACCTTTTGTGTGGCAGGCCTAAACCCTAAACCCTAAACCCTAAACCCTAAGCCCTAAAGTTTAGAGTTACAGGGCTCAGAGCTGGCAAAGTGTCAACCCCAAGCTTTCCTCTTGGGGCGCTGGAGGGGCTTCGGGTCGTTCAGGGTTTTAGGGCTTAGGGTTTAGGGCTTCATTTAGTACTATTAGCTTTAGGACCACCAAAAAAATGATTGTCCCTTTTCTGCCCGTATAAGGAAGAATATGTTCCCTTTTTGGGGATTCTTAAGCAAACAGTAGTTTACTGTACATCCTTAATCGAAGAGAGCGCGCAGAGACCCCCCCCAATAAGCAGCGCGGGAGATCTTCCCCCAAACCTATGACAGGGGACACCTTAAGATTTCAACCCTAAACAACTCTAAACTATAAACCCTAAACCATACACCCCGGAACAAGCTCTGCCCGGCGTGCTCAGAGCAGCTACCCGGGTGTCCGAGCCCCCCCTGGGTGAACGTCCAGACTTCCCTAAGCCACAGAATCTGGGATGTTGGGTCTAGGGTTCTAGGGTTCTAGGGTTCTAGGGTTTTAGGGTTCTAGGATTCTAGGGTTCTAGGGTTCTAGGGTTCTAGGGTTTTAGGGTTCTAGGATTCTAGGGTTCTAGGGTTCTAGGGTTCTAGGGTTTTAGGGTTTTAGGGTTCTAGGGTTCTAGGGTTCTAGGGTTTTAGGGTTCTAGGGTTTTAGGGTTCAGGGTTTGGGGTTCAATGGTTCAGGATCTTTATGAACCATCCTCAGTTTTTTCCGTTTGCAGCTATCCGAGAACGACACAGAACACCCGCGCAAAAAGAAGAAAGAAACAACATCCAAGCCAAACCCTAGAAACGCCTACAAAACCCTGTAAAACCCTATAAAACCCAATTAAAAACTCCATAAAAACCCCATAAATCCCTATAAAACCCTATAAAACCCTACAAAACCCTATAAAACCCCATTAAAAACCCCATAAAACCCTCTAAAACCCTATAAAACCCAATCAAACCCAATAAAACCCTATAAACCCCTATAACACCCAAAAAAAACCGTACAACCCTAAACCCAAAGGGGGCTCAGACCTTGACTACCGCCTGGATCACTACCAGGCCACCCTCCGCTTCCTCCAAGAACCTCTCGGCGTAGGATTCGGGTCTAAGGTTAGGGTTGAGGGTTTAGGGTTTAGGGTTTAGGGTTTAGGGTTTAGGGTTTAGGGTTTCGGGTTTCGGGTTTCGGGTTTCGGGTCTGAGAGGATCTGAAGGAGGGCCCCCATCTGCCTGAAACCCCTCCTTCGACAGCCTTAAGGCTCCCAGAAGGCTTTTGTGAATACGGGGGGGCTCGTTGTATGGGCTTAGGGTTAGGGTTCAGGGTTCAAAATTTACGGTTTATAGGGTTTAGGGGTCAGGGCTTTAGGGTTGATATGGTTGTTTTAGGGTTTATAGGGTTTGGGGTTTAGGGCTTCCCTGAAACTGCTTGTTTGTCTGTCTCTCTGCCTGCCTGCCTGCGGGCGCTCTAGTTTCTGCTTTACTCGACAACTATGCAATGCCTGCGACACCATGCTTATGACGACGTTTTTGCATAGCCTTGTTATTCTTCGAAGGCGTTACTGCTCTGACTCATGCACTGCGAGGTTTGTGTTGGTTCCTGTTTCGGGGGCACGACACTCTGAGCGTTATCTCTTTTGCTTCCCCTACCTTGCTGTTCATTTTCCCTCCGGTTTTATTTGGCTTGCGGGACATCCCCAGCTAGTTTGCGTCGCACTGCCCGACCAATTCTATAGGAGCAGGACAGATTAAGGCAGGGGGCGCCCCAAGCCATAAAATAGAACCTAAACAGGTTGAAGACTTCCCTGGCCCTAAACTCGTAGACCCTAAACGATGTGCACGCTGAGAGGACTACAAGCTAAATCTGAGGAAGACTGGATTTCTGGGTCATGAAGGTGGACTGGAAAAGACTGACAGGTGGGATGGATTCCAGGGTCTCAAGGTGTGATGGGTGAACAAGGCTGTGGCAAGCTGTGGAACAAGAGTGAGAGAGAACAGACCAGACGAAGAGAACCCAGATTTGGTACTAAAAGCCCTGGTCTCTAAGCCGGTTAGTAACTCAAGACATTAAGACTCAGCCCCAGATCAACCATTAACAGGAGCTAGAGATAGAGCTTCAGAGTCAAGAGTGAAGAGAACAAGGAAAAGACCATACACAATTCTACTAAAAGGCAAGGAATGCAATGACACGCGCTTTTAATATAATTAGTGTGTGTGTGAGGGCTCAGATTATTTGTTGGTGGATTTGCTGATTGGAGTCTGCTTGTGTAAAACCCTACACTTAAGGATCTGAGGGCTCGAATTTGGAGGCTTTCCTGATTGTGACCGGCTTGTGCGGAGCTTCACAAGAATTGCGGGTTGAGACTCTTAACTGGGGGGAAGACGCTGACTTTGGGGGTTTTCTCAGGCTTCCTGCTCGCTGAAAAGCAACTGAGTTGGGGCTGGGCTCTCGCGATTCCAGTTGGGGCTCAAATCAGTCAAAGGCAAACAGACGGAAACAAAAACGCGCAGAAAATTTCAGTCCCTCAATTCTTAAGTAAGGAATTCAAAGCCAATTCTCCCGCTGCAAACCCTATAAGCTCCCTACAAACTCTACAAGCCCTACAAACCCTAAAACCTCCAGGCCCTAGACCCTACAGACCCTAAACCCTACACACCTCAAACCCTAGAGGCCCTAAACCCCCCTGCCTACCTTCAACAGTGAACCACTCAAGCCGGAGACCACCCATGTACCCTACACCCTAAACCCTAATCTATAGGGTTTTGGGTTCAGGGTTTAGAGTTTCCCCTAAACCCTAAACCCTAAACCCTAAACCCTAAAGTTCCGCTGTCAGGCAGCTCGTGGGCGATGTCGCCCTCGTCATCCTGATAGATGTCCCCTGCCGCCACACTTGAGGGTTGGGGTTTCGGGGGGTATAAGTAAAGGGTACAGGGGGGTGTATGAGGGGGGTATAAGGGGAATACGAGGGTGTAGGGTTTAGCGGTTTAGGGTCTACCGCGCCCGTCTTCAAGCAAGAGAGAGAGAGAGAGAGAGAGACGGACAAAGCACAAACGCACGATTGGCAGCCCATGATCACATGCAAAAGTGGAACTGCAGGGGTTTGGAAGCCCTGGAAACCCTAAACCCAAACCCTATAAACCCTAAACCCTAAATCCTGAACCCCAAGCGCTAAACCCTGTACCTTAAACCTAAAACGTTTTGGACTTCGGGTTGAGGGCACCCTCCGGCGCCTGAGATGCGAAGAACCTTCAGCGCGTGTGCTGCCTGGGCATGGCGCTGATGAGGAGCGGGCTTCAGGGTTTAGGGTTCTTTAAGGGGTTTGGGTTTTAGGGTTTAGAGTTTCAGGTTTAGGGTTTTAGGGTTTGTGGTGTTTTGGGGTGTTTAGGGGTGTTTAGGGGTGTTTAGGGGCGTTTGAGGGGTGTTTTAGGGGGTGTTTAGGGGTTTAGGGCTTGGAGTTTCAGGTTTAGGGTTTTAGGGTTTATGGTGTTTAGGGGTGTTTAAGGGGTTTAGGGGTGTTTAGGGGGTTTAAAGAGGTTTAGGGGGGTTTAGGGGCTTTAGGGGGCCCCCGGTTTCAGGGCTTAGGGTTTAGGCGGTTTAGGGCTTTGTCAATGCTTTAAAATTCCAGGGTCGCGACCTGCTCCGCCCGAAGAGACTCGTAGATGCTGAGCCGTAGCAATGAAAACAAAAAAACACCCGAAACAACAAGGAGAAACAATAAAACTCCTTGACCCCGCCCCAAAAAAATGACATAATTAAAATGAATAATAGGTAAACCCCAAACACAAATCCTAAGACCCTGTTGTCCGGAAAACCCTCGAGCCCTCAAGCCCCAAACCCTAAACCCGCTGAAGGCCCCAAAGCCCACAAAGCCCACACCAGTTGGTCCTCTAGCCTCTGCTTCTTGGTCCCTGCCCTGAGACCCTAAACCCCTACATCCTACAGCCCTAAACCCCAAACCCTCAACCCCAAACCCTACGGGAAGGAACATGGAATATCCTGACCTCGTTTTAGGGCATTCGTCCGGGGACTTATGCTCCTCAGTCTGTCCATCTACCTCTAATCAGATGTTGGTACTCTAAACCCTAATCCCTAAACCCTGAACCCCAAACCCTAAACCCCAAACTCTAGTTACTCTAGTTTAGGGTTTCCTGTTCAGGTGTTGTGGTTGACCTCTCAAATGCTTCGGTCTGGGGAAGTCTCCTAAAGCATTATGGCCTCTTCTCACATTCTCACCTTATCCATACATTAAGGCACAGAGCCTTGCCCAAGAAGGACCAAACCCCAAACCTCAAAACCCTAGCAACACGCACGGATGCCCTAAACCCTAAGCCCCTTGGATGTAGAGAACGGCACGTTGTGTTCGCTTCAGAGCTGGCGTTCGGGAGCTTTCGGATTTGGGGTTTTGGGGCCTGTCTGCTAAACCTGGAACCCTAAACCCTAAACCCTACAACCAAAACAATAAACCCTAGCCCTAAACCCTAAACCCCAAACCCTAGCCCTAAACCCTATACCCTGCAAACCCTCCAACGCCCGCCTTATCGACACGCTCCTGCTCCTCGATCAGCCCCGCCGCCACCGAGGGTGTCGGCGAAGGCCCTGGCTCATGCCTGGGTCAGACAAGAATGTCAGAGTCCGGGGGTTTAGGGTTTAGGGTTTAGGGTTAGGGGTTTCGGGTTTAGGGTTTAGGGTCAGGGGTTTAGGGTTTAGGGTTTAGGGTTAGGTGTTTAGGGTTCAGGGTTTAGGGTTTGGGGGTTAGGGTTTGAACCAGAAGCCTTAGACCTAGCACCTTCCCTAGATCCACCATGCGCACGGTCGCCACTTTAGGCTCACCGGTCAGGCGGTCCCTCCAGGTTGTCGTTGCTTTCTTGAGGGGTTCCAAGAAGGAGATGTTTCTTGTTCCTAAACCCTAAACCCGAAACCTTCAACCCAAAACCTCATAAGGTTGAGGGAGTTCCCTGGGTTGGCCTACTACAATGGAATTGAAACAGTTAGGCTTCTTGGCGCACAATATAATATAGGGTGCTTTTGGCAAGTAGCACGCAAAACGCATTGTCGAATCCCTCAAGAGTTTAGGGTCTAAGGTTTAGGGTCTTAGGCTATAGGGCAGGTGTCTGCGGGTGCAGAGTCGGTTTCATTGGTTCTGGAGGAGGAGGACTATTCACCAACACAGTCTTGGGAAGCCCTGAACGGAATGAGCTTGATGCGCCAGGGAACGACCCATATATCATCTTATGCCTTAAACCGTACACCTATGCAAGTCCTAAACCCGAAACAACAGGCTCTGCAGCATGTTCAGTTCGGCAAAGCCCCAAACCCTAAACCCTAAACCCTGATTCCAAACCTTGAACCCTTGGCTTGTGCGGGCATGGGCGCCGATGCATCTTTCGGCTAGCCTTCTCTCTCCTGCAGAGCGGGTCTCAGTGTCCATAGCGCTCAGAAGCTGTTCAGAGCCACTTAGATTCTCTTCAGACCCTTTATGATAAGCCTTTGAGGGGTTGAACCCTCGTTGGCCTTGAAGTGGGCTTCTCGGGGGGCTCCGGATGCTTGGGACTTTGGCACAGTCTCGGGGCTATTCTGCCGGCATTTTGCGGTTTCGGGCTGAGGGTCTGTTTAATATAGGGTCTTAATATAGTTACACAGGGACGATACGGGAATAACTATTTGTCACTATTCCGACCCCTATATGGCTTTGCATTTTAATGGGGAGGCGCGCGACAGGTGTTGGGGTCGGGGTATGTTTCGCGGGTATGTTTCGCGGGTATGTTTCGGGGTATGTTTCGGGGTATTATTCGGGGGTATGTTTCGGGGCATGTTACGAGGCATGTTTCGCAGGTGTGCAACCCCGGTGCCCTTCTTAAACCTGAGCCCCCCCAAAAAAACAAACCCATATTAGAGTTGTTCGAGTTTAGGGTCGTTCCGGAGTTTTGTGGGTTTGAATTATTCAGGGATTCAGAGGTTGAGGGTGTTTTGTATTCAGGGCACAGGGTTCGAGGCGGCACCAGGGCTTCGGGTTTGGGGAGGACTCCCTCCATCTTGCAAGCAGAAAAGTCTGCTTGCCTAAGATGGCTGCTTTAGGGTTTAAGTTTTAAACTTCAGGGTTTCAACTGCATGGCTCCAACTATCGAGCAACCCCTGCGCACGAGCCTTTTCTAAAACTGGGAACAACAAATCTTCAAACCCCTTAGATCCCGGATCCCTGAACCCTTTAAGACGTAAACCAGGCCTTACGTCTTCCGCTGTCAGCACAGGCCGCTTGACCGCTGGCGGAGTTGCAGGTGGCGCGGACTTTGGCGCCTCCATTGAGAGACTACTACCGCTATGCTTCCTTTTGTTCGTGTTACTACCATTACCACTACGACTGCGATTGCGATTGAGATTGTCCTTTGTCATTGTCACTTCATTTGCTTTCAACTGTAGCACTTGCTAGTTTAACTACCTGCTATCTTCGCGATAGTCATCTTTTGGTTGCTAAAAACCTCAGCTATCTGCTGCCTTTCTTGTTACCAATAGCTCTGTTCCCAGCGTTGGCACCATTATCTCTGAACATGTCAGTTCTGAACCGGGATATGGTTTGTTTAAACTCCGCACCTTAGACACCGTAAGCCCTTTTACCCGAAGACCGAGGTCCGACACACCACACACTTTCAGAGCACAAGGAGCCCTACCCAGCAATGGAAGCATTCGGCAAAAAAGGACTTGACACTAGCCCTTGTAATTCCCAGTAAGGTATATGACCCTAAACCCTAAACCCTAAACCCTAAACCCTAAACCCTAAACCCTAAACCCTAAACCCTAAACCCTAAACCCTAAACCCTTTTGGGGTTCATCTGGTCTCCAAGGCCAGGCTTCCGTGCCTCTTCTGCTGGCTTTGGTGTCTCGGCAGCTTGGTTCACAGGCCGCTTCGCCGCCGGGGCTGCGACAGGAGGAGATACCTGGGGAGGGCGGAATTAGGGTTTAGGGTTTAGGGTTTAGGGTTTAGGGTTCAGGGTTTAAAAAATAGGGGCCTGAATAGTTAGAATAGGGTTTTTGGGAGCTTCTTGTAGTATTCTTACATAGGGACCACAAGTTGGAAGACTGCTTTTAACTCTTCCGACCCCCTATTTTGGGGGCTTTGGGAGCTTGAAAGTTGCTTCGTGTCTTTGGCGCCGAGGTGGTTCTGAATTCTTTGAGAGCCACGCCTGTTTTTGTTTGTTTCGGGTTTAGGGTTAGGGAACCGAACTCAACGAAATGGGTTAGGGGCTAAGGCCCGCAGTGTAGAAGCGTACGTTTGGGAAGGTTTTGGCAGGATTTGATTTGGGCTCAGGGCCAACTTTTTTTTTCTGCAGGGTTTAAGGTTGTCAGGCCTGAAGATACCCAGAAGCCCCAAAAACCCTAAACCCTAAACAAACCCTAAACCCTAAACCCTAAACCCCAAACCCTAAACCCTAAACCCGAAACCCTAAACCCTAAACCCTCTTTACAGCCCCACGACCTGATCATGGCTGCGCTTCGCCGGCCAGCGGAAGTAGACCGTGATGGCCTGGGAGTCTGGGACAAGGGGGGTTGAGGGAGTTTAGGAGGGTTTAGGGTTTAGGGATGTAGGGTTTAGGGGTTTAGGGTTTAGGGTTTAAGGATTCGGAGAATTTGGGGTTTAGGGAATTCTTGGTTTAGGTTAAGGGCTTAGGGTTTAGGGTTTAAGGATTTGGGGAATTAGGGGTTTAGGTTGAGAGTTTAGGGTTTGGGAGTCTAGGGATTAGGGGTAAGTTTGGGGTTTAGGAGTCTAGGGTTTCGGGGTTTCGGGTTTAGGGAGTTTAGGAGTTTAGGGTTTAGGGATTTAGGGTTTAGGGGTTTAGGGTTTAGGTTTAGGGTTTAAGGATTCGGAGAATTTGGGGTTTAGGGTTAAGGATTTAGGGAATTAGGGGTTTAGATTAAGGGCTTAGGGCATAGGGTTTAGGGTTTAAGGATTTAGGGAATTAGGGGTTTAGGTTAAGGGTTTAGGGTTTAGGAGTCTAGGGTTTAGGGTTTCGGGGTTTTAGGGCTTAGGGTTTAGGGGTTTAGGGTTTAGGGATTTAGGGTTTAGGGATTTAGGGTTTAGGGGTTTAGTGTTTAGGAGTCTAGGGTTTCGGGGTTTTGGGGCTCAGGGGTTTGGGGGTTTAGGAGTTTAGGGTTTAGGGGTTAGGGGTTTAGGAGTTTAGGGGTTTAGGGGTTTTGGGGTTTAGGGCTGAAGGTTTAGGAGTTTAGGGTTTCAAAGTTTTAGGGCTTAGGGGTTTGGGGATTGGGAGTTTAGGAGTTAGGGCTGAGGGTTTGGGGGGTTTAGGGGTTTAGGGGCTTAGCAGTTTAGGAGTTTACGGGTTAACATGCACAAACCCTACAAACCCTACAAACCCTACAAACCCTACAAACCCTACAAACCCTACCCCCTAAACCCTAAACCCCAAACCCTAATGCCCAAAACCGGGTTTAGAGTTTGGGGTTAGGGTAGATGTTTCAGGTTTAGGGTTCACAATTTCAGGTTCAGGGTTTAAGGTTTAGGGCAGATAGGATGCTACCTTGGCATAAGATGACTCACAGGGGGAGAGTTGGGCAAGAACCCAACCCTTAAACCCTAGAGCCCTTGCTGGCAAGGTTTAGGGCTTCGAAACCTAACCCTACACCCCAAACGCTGCACCCTAAACCCTAAACCCTAAACCCTGAACCCCTAATCCCCTAAACCCCAAATCCTAAACCCTAAACCCTAAACCCCAAACCCTAAACCCTAAACCCTAAACCTGGTTGTTTTGTAGTTGCTGCTGTTTAGCGGGCTGAGGGCGCACCAGCTATTGGAGGACCCAGGCTTGGCTGAGTTGAAAGAGAGGTCGTAGGGTTTAGGGTTTAGGGTTTAGGGTTTAGGGTTTGAGCTGAGAGGCTCGCGGTCGGCTCTCTGAATGGGGCTTGCCAAATAGGGGTACCAGAAATGGGAAGAAATGCTCCCTTGCTAGGTTTAGGTTGAAGGGCCTCTTTTTGTCGGAATTAGGTTTGTTTAGGGTGTAGGGTTCTCAACGTTCAGGAAAACTGTTGCCCCACCTGATCCGGTCTACTCGGAACCTTCGGCTCAGCATTGCCAAGAGTGCACGCCCGGATGGTTGCATGCCTAACGCATGTGATCGTTCGACGAATGCCTGGGCACTCCGTAGTCTCCCTTGAGGTGCCTTGGATCCGTAAGCTGTGCAGCAAGGAAACGTGAAGCTGGTGGCGGAGTCGGAGGCAAAGTGCGTCGCACAGGGAACGTACGCACTCAGCTGGTCTCAAAAACAGGTCTCTCTCGCAAAGACGACCTCTCCCTTTCTTCTGTGCCAAACTCCGCTCGGATCGCAGCACGTCGCCCACCAAGGTTGTGCCAAGGTCCTGACTGATAGAGGCTGACCCTTCCAGTTCTCTCTCTCTCTCTCTCTCTGATACGTGAGGTTTAGGGTTCCTAAGCACCTGCAAGGCAGTGAGGGTACTACGGAGAGTCCTAGTTGGGGTTTAATAGGAAAGTGAAGGGGCACAGGGGAGGATCCTACATGGGAGCCTTCTTCAAAGTAACCTGCAATTGGCAGCAGGCCTCGGGTTCCTAAGGTAGGGCTTGGGGTTGTAACCCTAAACCCTAAACCCTAAACCCTGAACCCTAAACCCTAAACCCCAAAAACCTCGACATTGTCTTGTCCGGCGAGCTGCCGTCAGGTTTTGCTCGCTGCCCCGGTTGAAGGCCTCTTGCCTCGGCCGTGGAGCGAAGACCACCGGGGAATTGATGCTTCTTTTTTAAAGCCTTATACTATACTCCCCTTAGAACCTTAATAAAAAGTAATATTTTTAAATATCCTCTTGGGCTTTATATAAACCAAAATAAAAAAAACATTTCCCAAGGGGTACATAGTATAAGGCTTGGGGTTTGATTTGGGTTTAGGGTTTGGGGTATAGCGCCGAAGGTTAGGGTTGAACGTCCAAAGGGGACCCCGTGATATAGACCCCCGTTGTATCTTCAGAACCCTTTAAACAAGGCTTAAGGGACCATATGAAGGGCCCATGATTCTACCCTTAGAAACTCCCTAAACCCTCCTCAGGCTTGCGACGTCCAAGCGTGGGAATCTCATCAAATGAAAATCTAAGAGGAACCTAGGAGTGCTTTGAAGGGGCCTATAAGGGAACCTAAACCCTCGAAGGGGGAGTAAGGGCCTACTAAAGGGGCCGGAAGAGTTACGAACAGTACTCCCTTATGGCCCCTATAGAATGATGCGATAATAAACGCCCAAGACCCTATTCAAACTATTAAGGCCCCTAAACCCTAAATTCTAAACCCTAAACCTTAAACCTTAAACCCTAAACCCTAAACCCTAAACCCCCAAAACCCTGTTCTACTCTGAGTCCTAGGAATCTCCTCGACTTGGGAACTGCCCCACCCGAAGCCCCAAGCAACAACTTCAAGGCCGCCTAAGTTCCCGGTGCCGAATTGGCTAGGGTTTAGGGTTTAGGGTTTAGGGTTGAGGGTTGAGGGTTGAGGGTTGAGGGTTGAGGTTTGAGGGTTTGGGGTTTAGGGTTTAGGGTTTAGGGTTCAAGGTTTTCGGCGCCAACGGTCCATGTCGTGAAATTGGCGAACCCCAAGCCCTAAACCCTGAACCCTAAACCCTGAACCCTAAACCCTAAACCCTAAACCCTAAACCCCTTTGAAACACCGTGAGAGCGGCCCGTGCTCCAGGACGGCGTCCTCGACCCCCCAGCACTTCATCCCAAGCCGAATTCTGGGAAAAACCGCGCGTACGCTTCAAAGGAGGCCGGAAAGGAGAATATTTATACCATGGCCCCTAAACCCTAAACCCCAAAAGCCCTATAAACCCTATAAGCCCTACAAGCCCTAACAACCCCTAAAAACCCTAAAAACCCTAAAAGACCTAAAAACCCTAAAAACCCTATAAACCCCATAAACCCGATAAACCCTATAAACCCTGCAGGCCCCCCGAAGCCCTAAATCCGACATCCCAAGCTGCGTAATCTCCGCCGCGGCCCGGCGCTCGCTGCCGCGGCAGCGGCGCAGCAACGCCGCGAGCTCCTTCGGGGATTTGGGGGGTTTCCGAGGCTTCAGGGTTTAGGGTTTAGGGTTTGGGGTTTAGGGTTTAGACTTCAGGGTTTAGGGTTTATAGGGTTTAGGCACAATCCGCGTGGAAGCCTCTGGGGTGGCAGGGTCGAGTTCGGAGGAGTGAACACAAAGCCCAAGACTAATTCCCTGAAGCTTAAGGCACGAAAGCCCAAACCCGACTCCATAAATTCTTCCCGAAACACCGACTTTGCTAAATCATGCAGTACTTGCTGCTCCACAGGCCCAAAAAGACGCCTTACTCCCCGAAGCCTCCACGACAACCTCGCATGACCTCCTCAATTCTTGGGTCGCTCAAAGGTTCGGGGTTGAGGGCTTAGGGTCTTTGGATTCAAAAGTTTAGGGACCCAAACTCGAAACTCAAACCCTCAACCAACAAACCCCAAACCCTGAACCCGCACCCTACACCCTGAACCCGTAAACCCCTAAACCCTAAACCCTAAACCCTAAACCCCTAAACCCCTAAACCCCCAAACCCCCTAAACTCAAGCAACAAACCGCCCCCTGCAGCGACCTCCGGGGGTAGGTGCTCCGAAATCCCGTCGCCTCGCGGCTTCGAAGCCCAGCTTCGGAGTTCCGAGGCTTTATGGTAGGCATAGGGCCCTAGGGGTTTAGGGTTTAGGGTTTAGGGTTTAGGGTTTAGGGTTTGGGGTTTAAGGTTCATGCTTGGTGTTTGTAGGGTATATAGGGCTTAGGGTTTAGGGTCGGGTTGAGGGGTTGAGGGACCCTAGGTCTTTTAACTATAGGTGCTAGACAGGGTTTTCTTAGACACAAAAGGGTTACATATGTATGTGTGTGTGTGTGTGTTCATATAGGGCTTTATAAAGGTTGAACAGTGAAGCCTTGCCCGCTGTAGCTTGTGACTACGTCTCGGCTTTGCTCGCCCGGAGGCGGTTTGAGCGGCGTCACCTCGTCGAACACGACGCAGGGGGGGGGGGGGGGGGGGGGAGGGCGCGGCACCCTAAACCCTAACCCTCTACCCTCTAAACCCTAAAGTTGACCATGAGGGTGGCGCGGTTGGCCATTGACTTCATTCTGTGGAGCCCGCATGAACACCACTGGGAGAGCTTCGTGTGGACCCATGGCCAGTTAAAACGCCGGCTCAGGGTTTCAGAGTTTAGGAGGTAGGCAGCACATCTGGGGCTTTGGGAGTAGGTGGCAGGGTGCTTAGGAGGGTTTAAGCCCTCCAGACAAAACCCTAAACCCTTTAGCCTAATCCCTAAACGCCGGATTGCTGCAAGGGATTTGGGAGGCTCACGTGGCGGTGGGTAATCTTGCGCGCTCTGGGGATTACAGCGGTCAGGGGTTTTGGGTAGGAGGGTTTCGACCGTAGAGGTTTTGGGGTTTCAAGAGTTTGCAGAAGTTCAAGAGTTCAGGGTCTCAACAGTTTCAAGAGTTCAGGGCTTTAGTGATTTGAGCCTTGGGGTTAAGGCGCAAAGCAAACTGACTTGTCCTTTACACGGGCTGGTTCTTAGAAGGGAATGACAGAGTTAGGGCCCTATGTAATCCTCAGCTCCCAACATCAAGCGCCGGTTTTGGGGTTTAGGGTTTAGGGCGCCCTCCTCAGCTTCCGTGCTGAACCTTAGGCCCAAAAAGCAAAGCCCTAAGGATTGGGGTTTAGGGTTTAGGGTTTTAGGGTTTTAGGGTTTAGGGTTTTAGAGTTTTAGAGCTTTAGAGTTTTAGAGTTTTAGAGTTTAGGGTTTAGGGTTTAGGGTTACCTTGCCGGAGATGAGAGGATCTGCAGACGCAGGACGTCTCGTGTGGACTGGTCAGTGCTTGGTTGGTGAAGCGACTCACCAATCTGCGGTTGCTCTGACTGACAACAGCACCTGTTCGCGCTCAGAAACGGTCTGTATGGCCAGACGCACGAAATCTTCCATAGGCGGCGCTTGAGCGGCCATGTCTCCATCGCCGAAAGATCACCGATCATGCGTCACAGTGTTTCTAGGGGTAACAGCTTGTCTATCGCACAGACTACCCATGAAAAACACGAACCTGTGCAGTATCCTGCGCCCTAGACTGTCCAAAGCCCGAAACCCTAAGCGATCTGGAACCTTAAACCCCCAATAACTGTCCTAAACCGGAAGCCGCAAGAACCAACCGAAATCGGCGGCCCTAGATTTCAATCCTTCACCTAATCAACTCTGTCTGGCCCCATGTACGCCTGCACAAGCCCTAAACCCTAAACCCTAAACCCTAAATCCTAAATCCTAAACCCTAAACCCTAAACCCTAAACCCTGAACCCTAAACCCTAAACCCTAAACCCTGAACCCTGAACCCTAAAGTCGCAAGCTTCTTCCGAGGCCCCTGGCAGTAGAGCGCCAAAGCCACGTGGGATCGGTCCAGCCACACTGTTCGAACCTGCAGAAGGAGCAGCCCTAAACCCTAAACCCTAAACCCTAAACCCTAAACCCTGAACCCTAAGCACCCTGAACCCTGAACCCGGAACCCTGATGCCCGAACACCGAACGCTAAATACCCTGAAAGTATTTGGGGTAGGGCTTATGGGGTTGAAAGGGTTAGGTTTTGGGGTTCTGGGCCGGGTTTAGGGCTGAGGGGAAAGAGCCTTTGGACATTAGCGTGTTGAGGGCTTGAGGCTTAGAGCCTCGAAGGTGTAGGGTGTTTCCGCCTTAAGTGTCGTACACGCCCTCCTGCCCCCGGAGAAAAGCCGATGTTCTCAGAACTTCACAGGGATAATGATCCCCAAGGCGCCCTAAACCCCTAAACCCCTAAACCCCTAAACCCCTAAACCCCTAAACCCCTAAACCCCTAAACCCCTAAACCCCTAAAACCCTAAACCCCTAAACCCCTAAACCCCTAAACCCCTAAACCCTAAACCCTAAACCCTAAACCTTCAATCTCGGTCATTGAAAGGGCATCCCAAGCTTCGAGGGCCAAGGCTGGAAGCTGAAAGGGTCAGGCAGCGCTTATAGTTTTTGCATCCCCAACAACAGGTAGGGTTTAGGGTTTAGGGTTTAGGGTTTGGGGTTTGGGGTTTAGGGTTTAGGGTTTAGGGTTCACCAATTGCAGTGCCACAACAAGAGGACACCCAAAATGTACCGTTCACCAAAGTCATATAAGGAGCCATATCTACACTCACCAATTAATTCCGGTACAACAAACCCTGTTTCATATCCTTGAAGGAGTGGCCTTTACACGATGTGTATGCGAGGCTACGCCCTGATAAGAGATTGAAGATGATCCCAGAACAAGGGCGTCGGGGTTTCGGGTTTAGGGTTTCGGTCCTAAACACCAAACTCCAAAACCTAAACCCCCTTGCTGAGGGCTGATGTTTTTGGGGGGTTTAGGGTGTCAAAAAGCCCTAACTCCAGAGCTGCTTATTGAGCAATGGTACCTGCTATGGAAGTCCGTGGCCCTAAAATATCCCTAAACCCTAAACCCTAAACCCTAAACCCTAAACCCTAAACTTACACCCTCAACCCCAAAAAATGGAAGCCTCCGGCTCTGCCAGCACGACTTTGTTGGGTGACTTCAGCTCGCGATCCCCGAGCCTTGGGCCCCAGGGCAGTTGGAGGTTCATCGGCTTCGAGTTCAGGATGGAAGGGTTTAGGGTTTAGGGTTTAGGGTTGAGGGTTTAGGGTTTAGGGTTGAGGGTTGAGGGTTTAGGGTTTAGGGTGCTGGACTGGAAACCCTAAACCCCGATTGAAACTACGTATGAGCCCTGAAGTAAGCAGTTGTGACTTAGGGTTTGTTTGGGGGGAGGCAGGAGCGCATTCTCACGCGGGGCGTATGGGCACTATACAGGGTTTGGGCTTACGACCTGTGGCTTCCCAACTTGCCGCACGTCGCCTCATGCCCGACATACAATGACTAGCAATGGTATATAGGGCCATGTCGGCACCTCGACCCCAAAACCAAGGGCCCGTTCTACACGAGTCTGTACTTCGGAGCTCTACATCATAGAGGGCGGGACCGGCAACCCACCTCTCTTCTGGTTGCCGTCGTCGATTCACGACTACAACTATACTTGTGTTTCGCTGCAGTCTAGGCCGTCCTTCAGTGCTTCTCGCCTCGCTGCCACGATGATGTCGGCAATGTCCAAGCTCGCGTGTGCCTTATGCAGTCGGCCGACAAGGGTTCTGGCTAGCATGGTCGGGTTACAACATGGCCTTCTTCTCAAGTTCTTCGTCCTGCCAGCGAATGCGTCCCAGCACACGGCCGCCTGCCGTCCACAATGTTGCCTCGGGGCCATCGTTCCACGCCAGCGCGCAAGTTAGGATGAGGGGAGTGCAGTTCGGCGTTGCCCCTTGGCTCATGACGTGCCTGTGCCTCATCTCCGAGGTGCTACAACTGAAACTCTGACAGCTGCGGGCATACCGAGCAACATCTTGGTGCAGCAGAAACATTGCCTTGTCGAGCAGCGCATTGCCTAGCGTTCCCATGCTCTGTATCTTGCATTTTCTCGCGCCGGTGCTGCTTTCCTGTGCACTGTGCTGGTAGCACTCTCGTGCCATTTCAGCTCCATTGCGGGCGTTCTCTCGTACCTCCCATAGTCAATACCCCGCACATGCGAAGCACTCAAACTTGTTTAGGCTGAGGCCGCCACTCCGCAAGCACATGGAGAGAGACACAACAGGCGAGCTGAAGCTGAGGGAGGAACCACGAAAGGCAAGCGGACGAAACGACCGCTGAAGCCGCGGAGGTCGAAACCGTCGTCGTCTCGCTCCTCTTGCTCGACCAGCTCCACAGCCTGCAGGGCAGACTTTGCCAGGCTGAGGTTTCGGCAGTTCACACACACCACGCCTCTTCGATGCACCCGGCTGCATGTTGGAGCAATTCGGCCCAAGGGTGACCGGGCATCGCCCGCTGGACAACGAAGTTTATGCCCAACAGAGCCTGCCAATTCCCCGCGCGAAGAACACATCCAGGTCCGCGCTCTTCGCAGGGCCTCGATGTGGTCCCCGGCTGTCTCGGCGTTGCTGACACGCGGCTTGTTCATATACTCGCCGAGGAGGAGAAGCTGCCACACGCGAAGGTAGCAGGCCTTTGTTCGTTCATGAAATGTGTTATTGGGGAGAGGACAGCCTGACCGAGCTACGAACGTTTCCGGGGTCTGCGTACAGAACGCCCGAGCTGCTCCGCCAGCAGTTGGCCTGCAAGCTCAGGTGGATACGGAGTTCTCCCTGCAACGCCATCGCCATCCGGGCCTCTGAAGTAACTGGCGCACCGTAACTTCGTCGTACGGCCCCGAGGTGAGACAGGACCTGCAGGCATCGGGCTGCATGGTCTACGTATCATATAGAGGTGCCGCGCCTTGTGATCGCGTTTGCCCAAGTTTGCGACGAGGTCCAGTACGGGCTGACCCAGCGTCAGCAGCACTCGCAGCTCCCACCATCCCAAAACCACCTGACATCAAGCATGGACGTCAAGCATGGATGTCAAACATGGACAGGCACTGCAACACAATGCTCTGCCTCCGTCTGCACAGTCGGGTGCGGCGGCACCCAGGCGAAATGTGCAAGAGCAACTTGGGGGGGAGCACTCAGGAGTTGGGCCACCAGTGCGCGCTGGTCCTCGCTCCACTGCATGGTCTCTAGGGTCCTGATTCTTGGGCTTGAAGCTTCGTGAAGCCAATCAGTTGGGGTACGACAACCCTGGCCAGCGAAGACATGACAGGTCCACCCCAAAACAGGCCACTGCAAAAGGCCGCTCGTATAGAGGAGTGACCTAGGACACCTGTGCAAACTGGCTCGTCCAAACCCTACTTCTGAGGGCGGCGCAATTCTACAACCCCAAAACCCTACAACCCTAAATCCCTACAAAACCCTTTACCCCAACCCAAAAACCCTAAGACCCTGTGCCCTAAAACCATAAAACCCTGGCCCTAAAACCCGAAATCCCTGACCCCTAAAACCCTAGAACCGTAACGCTCTAAACCCTAAGCGCCAACCCAGAAACCCCACAACCTCAAACCCTGAACCCTTTACCCCAACCCTAAAACCCTAAAACCTGAACACCCTGAGCCCTAGAACCCTCAAACCCTGAAATCCTACGCCCTAAATTAAAACCCTAAACCTTAAACCCTGAACCTCAAACCCTAAACCCTAAACCCTGAACCCTTTATCCCAACACCTTCGTTGCCGACCGGGCCGCGCCCGGGGAAAGGGCGAAGTCATGGGTGGAACAAGGCTGCATCCCAAACCCGAGGCGGACTGGATGCGAAACTCCTGGGCCGGGTTTGGGGTTTGGGGTTCGGGGTTTGGGGGCTTGGGGTTCAAAGCCCGGCTACCCCTAAACCCTAAACCCTAAACCCTAAACCCTAAACCCTAAACCCTAAACCCTAAACCCTAAAGGGTTTGGGGGTTTGGGGCTTCGAAACTCCACGGGCTTGGCTGGGGTTCAGGCTTTAGGAAGTTTAGGGGTTTTAGAGGTTGAGGTTGCAGGCTTATATAGGGCTTCTAGGGGGTTTAGGTCTGAGGGATTAGTGTTGAGCCAGGACACCCTAAACCCTAAACCCTAAACCCTAAACCCTAAACCCTAAACCCTAAACCCTAAAACCCTAAGAGGAGGACTGGGAGTCCTTGAGCCGCTTCTCGAAGTCGGCCCCAACAACCTGAATTTAAGGCATGGAGTTGATCTGCGGATTTACGGGGTTGAGGGGTTTAAGAGGAGAGGGTTTAGGGTTTAGGGTTTAGGGTTTAGGGTTTAGGGTTTAGGGTTTAGGGTTTAGGGTTTAGGGTTTAGGGTTTAGGGTTTAGGGTTTGGAGGTCGAGAGGCTTAAGGGGTTTTAGGCGTTTGGGGGCTGAGGGTGTCGGGCGGGCTTTTTGGAGATTCGGCGTTTTAAGGGTTTAGGGCTTTTAGCGGTTTAGAGCTTCATGAACTCGAGGGTTTAGGGGTTTAGGGCTTTATGCAAGCACTCTTCGGAACGATTGGGCTCCAAAATCAGCACAAAGCCAAGACAACTTCCGCCGCCATTTCAGTGCGGCGTGTGGCATATGGGTAGTTCTCTAGACTAGGCTCCCTTTTCGGGTCCGATACATATATATAGTACGGCACCCCATATGGGCCTTCAGGTCTATTCGCGCCTTCCTTTGCTGACTTCATAAGACGGCCCCGGCGAGCTTTTGAGTTGCAAGGTTTAGGGCGTGGGGTTTAGGAAACCACAGCTCCACTGCCCCAGTTAGTTGCCTGAATGCCCTTCACACCTCACGATAAGCCACGCATGGGGCTAAAAAGCAGCCTCAGAGCTGCTTGCAATGGTCCAGAGACTCAGGGTTCATAGATGGGCCTTAATGATTAGAATAGGGTTTTAGGGGTTCCGATAGTGTATTTATATAGGGGCCATGAGGGAAAACGGAAAACTATTATAGTAGTTGTTCCGAGCCCTATAGGAGGCTGGCCTCGAAACCTCTTGGGCTGGGAGGGTGCAGCCAGAGCCACGTGCAGCACATCAGGGGCGACCTCCATGATGCCTGCACTAGGTCGATGTGCTGTTTGGGACTTAGGTTCTAGGGAGGTTCAAGTTGGGCTTAGGGGTGAGGGGCTACCCTGAACCCTAAACCCTAAACCCTAAGCCCTAAGCCCTAAGGCTTCTCAAAAGAGCAGTGCCTCCGCCAGCCGCCTCGACGCGCTGCGCCTGGGCTGTAGGGGCAACTCCAGGCAGTCTACCGAAAAAAAACGAGGCCAACCCGATAAAACCCTTAAACCCTAAACCCTAAACCCGAAACCCTAAACGTCCCAAACCCCAAACCCCAAACCACGCAGGCCTCGCTAGGCGTGTCCGGGCTCAAGCTCTGGTGGAGGGCTTCGAAAGGCTCTTCGCCTTCGGAAGAACAGCTCAGGGTTTAGGGTTTAGGGTTTTGGGCTTGGGCTTAGGGTTTAGGGTTTCGGGTTTCGGGTTTAGAGTTGAGGGCTTAGGGTTTAGGGCTTGGCATGTAGGAGGGCTCACGGCTTGGGGGGCCGAGGGTCCAAGGGTCTCAAGTGCTTCGGGAACCTAAGCCCTCAAACCCTAAACCCGAAACCAAGTAAACCCTAAAGTTGAGGGTCCTAAGCCCTTAGGGTTTGGGTGTTAGCCTAGATCCGAAACCCTAACACCACATGCAGCCAGAAACCCTGTGAAGCCTAAATCCTCGATTGAAAGGCTGAACCCTCCCCGATGAAAGAGTCGTAAGGCAAAAGTAAAGATAAGCAAAACTAAAATAGGCGATGTTGAACCATAGTACTAACCATAGTACTAACACAAGGAGCATGGGAACATAAAAACAAAACAACTGCAAGCTACTGAAAACGGTAAAGCCGGAACCCCAAACTCTAAACTTTAAACCCCTGATCCCTTGCCCCCCCCCCCCCCCAAGAGCCTAAACCTTAAACCCCAAAACCCAGATCCTGTAAGCCCTTACCCAGAGTGTAATATCCATCAACATGAAGCATGAACCCTAATTGAACCCTAATCCCACATCCAAAACCCTAAGCCTTAAACCCTAAACCCTGAACCCTGAACCCTGAACCCTGAACCCTGAACCCTAAAACCTCTAAAACCTAAAACCTCTAAAACCTAAAACCTAAACCCTAAACCCTAAACGGCAGCAAGCCAAAGGCGCCAGAGCAGAGGAGTGTATTGCCGACCCCGAGGCCGCAGGAAAAGAGACGCCTCTCTCGGGCGATTTGGAATTTTGGGGGTTTAGGGTTTATTGGGTTTAACAGGTTGAAAAGGTTTAAAGGGTTTACAGGGTTTATAGTGTTTATAGGGTTTACAGGGTTTACAGGGTTTATGGGGTTTGTAGGGTTGGGGTGTATAGGGTTTTAGGGTTTAGGAATTTAGGGTATTAAGTGTTGAGGCTTAGGGTTCGTCGGGAGCTACCTTAAGACTGTTTGTTCGTTTTGGGGAGGGGGGGGGGTGGGGGGATAGGGTTCAGGGTTTAGGGATGAGGCCCTAGACCCTAGACCCTAGACCCTAAACCCTAAACCCTAAACCGAGGGTTCCGGCTGAGGGTGGATATTGTGCTGTGCGTTTTCGGGGCTCGCTGCTCGTCCACATCCGGCATCCGCGAGCCGAGCCGTCTCAACGACACCCAAGGTTTAGGGTTTAGGGTTTAGGGTTTAGGGTTTAGGGTTTAGGGTTTATAAGGGTTAAGGGTTTAGGGTTTAGGGTTTAGGGTTTAGGGAAGCAGTCATCTTCGAACCCGCTCACAAACACGCGCGATCTGCGCAGTGAGCTGAGGGGCCGTACAAACGCGTACGAGCTCAACCACAGCGCAGTTTTTGCAAACCCTACTCGTACCTAAACCATTATGTGGGGATTTACGATAATACGGGACCCCGAATATAGACCCCAGATAGTAGGACCACCTTTGTTGTAAGGACCCCCACAAGGTACCCCTAGTCTCGTAAACCCCCATATTTATATACACACACACACCTAAACCTAATAAACTGTAATTTACCCAAGCTATCGCAACCAAATATTTGCAAGGTGGTGTTTCGTGATGTTTCCTGCTCGGGGCACTTGCCACAGAAGCCGCGCCCTCGTCGGGCGCCTGCTTCCCTACTAACCCCAGGCCTGCTTCCTTGTTGGGGTTTTCTTAAACATTGTCATTCTTGTTCCTTATTGGGAATTTCACATGCAAAAAATGTAAATTTATAACCAACAAGGACCCAGAACCCCCCCCCCCCCCCCCAAATTTGCAGCCCCAAGCAAAGCCTTAAACCCTGGACCCCTAGACCGGAACTTGGGGAGCATATGCTGCACTAAGGGGTTGTAGTAGAGGCATAACAATATTGGTAATTAGCTCTTCAGGCCCCTGTGTTTTTGTGATAAGCCATTGAGGCAACACTCTTCGGGCATAGGGTTCACAGCAACTATATCTCAGCAAGCACAAACAGGTGGCCTCAAGGGTCCCGAAGCCCTCTAAACCCCCCAACAGGGGTGGACAAGCTTCATCCCTGAAACCGTGACCTCTGCACCCTCCCCCCGTAACTTGAGCTGTGGCCAAAACCCCTTTGAGCTTTTGAAGCATTTTTACGAAAGGCTCTATCGCGAGCTCTCGGCGCGGCCTCTGGGTGTGGTTGTGAGTTGGCTTGAAAAATCTTCCTTGCAACAGACTTGGCGGTATGTTGATAGATGTTGTTAAATTGGCGCGCAAGGGCTAGTCAGGGGGTTGCACTCATGCGGACGATCGCGGAAGGGTTCCAGCCCTCTCGCGGCCCAAACCCTAAACCCTAAACCCTAAACCCCCTATAGCTCACTCCCTTCACGGAAGGTCTTGCGCAACTCCCTTAAGTCCCTGGTGCCTCCCTGACAGGAGCGCCAACTGCAGGCAGCTGCCCGACCGATCCTCCGGCGCTTTTGAGGTTTAGGATTCAGGATTTACGGTTTAGGGTTTAGGGTTTGGGCTGGGTGAGGGGGGCTGAAAATCTTTTTGTGTTTTTTTCTTTGGGGGGGGGGGGGGGGGCGTTATTATGGTTTTGTTATATAGGGCTGGGAGGTCTCTACCAGTGGTTTTATAGGATGAGAAACGCAGGGGGGGGACTCAATAACTTGGAATAGGGTTTTGGGGGTTGCTATAGTATGAATATGCAGGGACCATAAGGGGAAATTAATGGTTGTCGACAGTGGTTTTAGGCTGAAAAAGCCTAGGGGGCTTAATGATTAGAAATCGTGTTTTGGTGGTTATTACAGTGGTTTTTAGAGCTGGAAAACTGCAAAGGGGACTTAAACAACTAAGAATAGGAATGTTTTCTTTTTTTTTTTTGGGGGGGGGGGGGGGTGATTGCAGTGGTCATAGGGCTGAAAAAATCTAGGGGGGGGACTTAGCAAAACTTTTCTTTGGGGGGGGGGGGGGTGGGTGATTACTACGGGACTGAAGAATAGGAGCAGTGTTTTTTTATTTTGTTATTATTGCATTTTTTTTTTTGGGGGGGGGGGGTCGGGACCATGAGGGAATCGAGAAATACTACAACCTTTACGGGCTTCAACAAAAGTTACATTGCCCAGGTGCAGAGTCCCAAGCGGTCAGGGTTTTAGGGTTTAGGGTTTCTAGGTTGCCCAGTAACCTAGGATGAAAAAGGGTGCCCTTTTTTGCTTAAAGGGGTTTATAAGGGAACCTAAACCTACCAAAAAGGGAATAAGGGTACTACTGGGCATCGTAGGTTTAGGCCCAGAATGCCCAGAATTAGAACTTGTGGTCGAAGTGCCGTACGGAACTTGCTGAGGAACTCGTTGTCCAAGTCTGCAATGGCGGCAATGAGGCTGGCGCGCACCCTGGGCCAGCATGTGTCCGCAATTCGGGTGAAGGTTAGTGGTGTAGTCTTACGTACAAGGTAACATGAAGAGGTCCATCTCACCTAAGAGCTAAGCCCTAACACGGGATCAGGTGGGACGCTCTTTTGTTATGCCTCTAGGCCTCAAGTTTGCCGCCTTTCCGGCACCTGACTTGGAAAGAGTCAGGCGGAGTGCTCTTTGCAGTGAAGCTCTCGACGTGGGGACATGGGGCGGGGGAAACCCGTTAAAGAGATTCGGCAAGGGCTCCCCAAAAGTTCTTGTTAGGGGGGTGGGAGGGTCATAGCCCCAAACGGAGCTCCGGGGTTTAAAGCTTACAGGGTTTAGGCCACAGAAGGGCTGATGTGAACTTCGGGCCGCAGCACAAGCTTCTTCACCAAGCTGCTTTGAGCTCAGAGGCTCCCAATTTTCTCTTGTAGAAACCCTAAACCCTAAACCTTAAACCCCAAACCCTAAACCCTAAACCCTAAACAGGGTTTTAGAGGGGCTTGGGGTGTAGCATTCAGAGTTGGAAGAGTCATGACCTTCAGGAGTGGCGCTACGATAAATGAACCCCAAGCCCTGAAGCCCATCCGAATCCCCAGAGGTTTAGGGTTTAGGGTTTAGGGTTAGGGTTTAGGGTTTAGGGTTAGGGTTTAGGGTTTAGGGTTTAGGACCACCGGGCACCCTGAAGCAGGGGGAACAAGCCTAGAAAAAAAAAAGGCGCCCTCTGAACACTCATAAACTCCCGAAACCTCTGAAGCCCCCCATTTGAGCCCCAAACCTTACAATTTCATGGGGCTTAGGGTTGGGTGAATGGTGCTTAAACCCTAAACCCTAAACCCCAAGCCCCAAAACGCCCAAAACCCAAAGCCCAAACCCTAAACCCTAAACCCTAGACCCTAAACCTTAAACCCCAAACCCCTAAACCCTAAACCCTAAACCCCAAACCCTAAACCCTCAACTCCAAGCCCTAAACCCTCAACTCCAAGGCCTAAACCCTGAACCTTAAGACAGACTGGGCGTCTGCTCTTCGACCGTCTGGTCTCGAAGCGAAGAGATCTTCCTTGGACCGTGGCCCCCTGAAGCCCCCAAGGCAGTAGGGTTTAGGGTTTAGGGTTTAGGGTTTGGGGTTTGGGGTTTAGGGTTTAAGGGAGAATTGCTGCCTCCCAATCGAACCCTCTGAGTGACCATACGGCCATACGGAACCTAACTTCCTAACCTTTCCTACTAAGAACCAGCCGGGGCTTAGGGTTTGGGGGGCTCATCTCATCTAATATGGGCGCCTACAAAATGAGAATAGGGTTTTGAGGGGTTACTATAGTACTATAGTGAGTGTATAAAGGGGCCATAATAAGGGAATGCTATCAGTAACTATTGGAACCCCTTTATTACGCTGGAAGCCCGGTGCCCGAGGACCCTCTATAGCCACCCCCCAGAGACGCCACGCGTCGCCAGGCGCGGCAGCAACTTCTTGTGGAAGTTCTGCGCGCAGAACTCGGCGCACCTTATGGCCCAAACCAGAAACAAGCTCAGGGTCTAGGGAGTCTAGAGTTTAGGGCTTAGGGCCTATAGGCCCTAAACCCTAAACACTAAACACTAAAACCCTAAACCCTATAGGGCTTAGGGTTTAGGATTTCGGGTTCTTAGCGATTACAATGTCTATAGGGTTTATTGGGCTTCAGGCAGGGAGTTTAGGAAACCTCAGAAGCCTGTGCGCCCCTACGCCCGAGCTGCCCATCCCTGGGTCTGCAAAAGCTGATTTTGGGGTTCAGGGTTTTAGGGTTTAGGGTTTAGGGTTTAGGGTTTAGGGTTTAGGAACAGCCAACAAAAGCCCTTGTCGTGGAAAGCTGCCCAATTTCAGGTCTAACCCTTGGGGTCTTCTCCTGTTGAGGCGTAGGTAGCCCTGGGCCCCGCTGAGTCTAAACCTGGAATTGACAGGGTACACATGAAACAGGGCTTGGGGTTTTGGGTTTAGGGTTGGGGGGGTTACGGTGTAGGGTTTAGGGCTTAGGGTTTTAGGGTTGGTTTAGGACCGTTTAGGGGTTCTGGGGCCCTGTAGGAAGTCCATTCTGTGGACTCTATGGTTTTGTACAGGGAACAGGACCCATCGAAATCTCAAAACGAGATTCGGCGCCTGTTCTGAGGGAACCGAACCTTAACCCCCCGAAACCCCCAGACCCTAAGACCCTAAACCCCTAAACCCCTAGTCCCGAACCCCTAAACCCCTAAACCCAAAACGAGGGGCTTTGGCCCAAAGTGGCCGTCATAGACGGCAAAAAGCGCCACCGGCTTGTCCTTCAACAGAAGGGATTCTGGGAGAGTGAGAGCGACGGAGAGAGAGAGAGAGAGAGAGGTAGAGAGGTAGAGAGGTAGAGAGGTAGAGAGGTAGAGAGGTAGAGAGGTAGAGAGGTAGAGAGGTAGAGAGGTAGAGAGGTAGAGAGGTAGAGAGGTAGAGAGGTAGAGAGGTAGAGAGGTAGAGAGGTAAAGAGGTAGAGAGGTAGAGAGGTAGAGAAGAGAGGTAGAGAGGTAGAGAGGTGAAGAGGTAGAGCGGTAGAGAGGTAGAGAGGTAGAGAGGTAGAGAGGTAGAGAGGTAGAGAGGTAGAGAGGTAGAGAGGTAGAGAGGTAGAGAGGTAGAGAGGTAGAGAGGTAGAGAGGTAGAGAGGTAGAGAGGTAATGAGGTAGAGAGGTAAAGAGGTAGAGAGGTAGAGAGGTAGAGGGGGGCAGAGGGAGCGAGGGAGAGAGAGAGAGAGAGACAGAGAGAGCGAGAGAGAGAAAGAGCGAGAGAGAGGGACAGAGAGAGAGAGAGGGCGAGCAATTCAGGGGTACTCCTACTGCAGGGTTAGGGTAGCTATGGTATACGACAGGGGAGTTGGCCTGGTTCGCCGGGAGGCGCCGGGGTAGCAAGCAGTAAGGGCTAACCAATCCATGAACCTTTCGGGTTTAGCGTTTCATCTTAAACCCTAAACCCTACACCCTGGAACCAGGCACGCAAAATGGCGTTTAGGGTTTTCGGGCTGCGCTAGGTTCAATTGGGGTCCGAAAGGAATCCGGAGCCCTGAACAAAGGGTAGGGTGGGGCATCCAAAGGCGAGTCTAACCAGACGGGTGAGACTAAACCCTAAACCCTAAGCATTCGACAGTAAAGTTCCATTATGAATTATAGCCTCTGGGGGAGTATGTAGCTTTCAGGGGGAGGGGGGGGGGGCATTTTCGGGGAGCCCCTTAGGCCTCAACCCTAAACCCTAAACCCTAAACCCAAAACCCTAAACCGCGGAGGGGGGGGAAGTGCGGCTCCAGGGCATCGATGGGCATCTTCATCGCTTTGGCCGCGGCCGCGAGGTCTTTGACCATGACCTCGAAGGTGTTTAGGGTTCAAAGGAGTAGGGTTAGACCCCCAAAACCCTAAACCCGAAACCCTAAACCCTAAACCCTAAACTCTAAGCCCTAAGCCCTAAACCCTAAGTTTTGGGCTTAAGTGTTTGGGGCTTCAGCGATAAGATCCAGCGCTTTCGACGGCGGCAAGGCTCGGCGAAATCCTCACCAAATAGCCTTGTTCAAGTTCCCACAAAACTTGGCTGCACTTAGGGGGGGTAGCTAAAAACCTAAATTTTTAGCTGGCTTCTTAAGAAACCCAATAAACCCAAAAAGGCTGAGGATCTAAAGTTACAGCAAAGCACCACAAAGAAAATCCACCCCAAGTCCTTCTAGCCACCTGAGCCTTACACACCCCCCCAATACCTTTAGGGTTTTGTAGGCTAGGGTCTAGGGTTGGGATGTGTTCCCCCCTTATACTAACAGTCCTTAATAGGGATAATTTACCTCCTAAATAATTCCTCTTCAGGACTGTTCGGTTTAGGGTTTAGGGTTTAGGGTTTAGGGTTTAGGGTTTAGGGTTTAGGGTTTAGGGTTTAGGGTTTAGGGTTTAGGGTTTAGGGTTTAGGGACGTATAAGGGGGAACATGCCAAATTGAGGGTTTGAAGGCTCCAGGGCCTAGTTTCTGGGCCCCGGGGCGTGCCGATCAAGGTGGAGCTCATCCCGGCCTGCACTCGCAGCCAGCAGTTTCGAGTTTTCAGAAAGTTTAGGGTTTAGGGTTTAGGGTTTAGGGTTTAGGGTTTAGGGTTTAGGGTTTAGGGTTTAGGGTTTTTTGTTTCTTGAAAGCGTTCCTGCGCATCGACAGGTTTCCTTTACTTGGGGCGGAGGGCTCAGGGTCGGCTGTTTGGGCTCAGCCTTGGATTTTGGATGTCAGGTTTTCTCGTCATTCCTTACACCAGATTCACGAAGATCCGAGGAGTGGACTTCTTTTCTTGAGCGGCGAAGTCCATCGCCATGTGTGCCGTTAGACTGACGGCTCGAGCGCCGGCCTAAGCCAAGCACCTCTGTGTTATCCTCTTGTTTGTGCCTTGGGGAGGGCGGGAGGGAAGTTGTGGTGTTGGGTGGCTTTGAGAGGTCCTCGGGGCCAGCATTGCCTTGAACTTTGAATCAACTACTGCACGCATAAGATGCATCCTAAAGTCTAAGCCTGCAACCCCTACACTCATTGAAGCCTTATACAGGGACTTGTAAACCCTAGCCCTAAACACCCTAAACCCTGGTATGACGACGATGCTTCGGGCGTAGGGTGATTTCAGAGGGATTTAGGGGGCTTAGGGGTTTGGGGTCTAGGGCTTCAGCTTCGTAGACTTAGGGACGTAGACTTAGGGGCCAGAGCTGAGATCCCAAGACCTCCCTGGGCCCTGAATCCAAAAACCCCCCAAGCGCTAAAAGGGGGCCCCTAAACCCTAAACCCTAAACCCTAAACCCTAAACCCTAAACCCTAAACCCTAAACCCTAAACCCTAAACCCTAAACCCTAAAGGTGGTCTGGAGGCCTGCGCGGAATCACTCCTGACTCCTGCAATTGCTACCGACAAGAATGACCGGTAGCTTCCCCCAACGGCTGTGTAAAATCATCGAACCCTCAACCCGAAAACCTTAAAGCTTTAACTTTAAACCCTAAACCCCAAACCTACTACATCCCAAGCTCCAAGCCGCGGAGTTCGGCCCTCAGTTCCCTATAGGGGGAACCAAGCATCCGACTGGAAAGGGCTCAGGGCTTTTAGGACTTGTAGGGTTTCTAGGGTTTGCAGGGTTTGTAGGGTTCTTACCAAAACACAAATCACATGTATTTTGTCTTGAGGGCTAAGGGGCTTAAAGGTTTCAGGGCTTCAAAGGGTCAAAGGATACTAGGGATCTGATTCAAGGTTCCATATGCAAGTTTCAAGGTGTTGGTTCAACCCAATAAGCCCCAAACCCCCCAAACCCTAAACCCTGGTTAGTTTGCTGGTTTCAGGGATTCGCGAAATTTCGGGATCAGGAATCCATGGGTCGTCACACTTCTAATGCACTTCAGAGCCTAAGCTCCCCCACCCTCCCTAAACCCTAAACCCTAAACCCTAAACCCTAAACCCTAAACCCTAAACCCTAAACCCTAAACCCTAAACCCTAAACCTCCCCTGGGACCTTGCATGAAGCTGGACTCTGCCGCGAACTCAAAGACCTGGCAGTGACTTGACGGATTCGGACTTTGCGGGGAAGACCTCCCCACCAGTTCAGCATGGCGGTTTAGGGTTTAGGGGTTTAGGGGTTTAGGGGTTTAGGGGTTTAGGGGTTTAGGGGTTTAGGGGTTTAGGGGTTTAGGGGTTTAGGGGTTTAGGGGTTTAGGGTTTAGGGTGTAGGGGTTTAGGGTTTAGGGTTTAGGGTTTTGGGAGTTGGGGAGTGAATGGTCACATCACTACCCGTAGATCTGCTAGATCCAAGTCCAGGTAGGAATGACAACGGTGCGTTCTTGGTTCATGAAGCGAACTTAAACCCCCCAAACAAAACGATAAAAAGGACCTCCCCTGGGTCTGTCTGCCAGAAAACCCTATACACCTTAGAAATCTCATAAACCCTTAAGAACACGACAAAGCCTATAAACCCTCAACCCAAAACCCAAATCTACCAACACCCTGTCCCCACGATGCTTCTCAAAAGGCTCGTGGGCCACACCTAGGAGCTGATGCTAATGATGCTCATGCTATACTCCCCCTTAAAACCTTAATACATATAATATTTGTTAAATTTCCTCTTGGGTTTTATATACACAAAAATACAAAAAATAATTCCCAAGAGGGAGATAGCATGCTCATGGTGCTCGACTCCCTCACCGGCTGATGCTCGTGATGCTCCCCTGGCGGCTCGCTCCAGGGCCTTCCCCCCCGTCTCCCAAACCGCCAAAAGGAACCGAAGCCGCACTGTCCCTCTCCACACCAACAACGCCCCAACCGCTGAAAACTGCTATGAAAAGACATGCCTGAAGCCCCCAACCCAAATTGTCGCGGAACCCAAAACCTTAATCCCCAAAGCATACATCCTAAGCTGAGGTATCTAAGGTAAACCCTGAATCCTAAACCCTGAACCCTGAACTCTAAACCCTAAACCCTAAACCCTAAACCCTAAACCCTAAACCCTAAACCCTAGAAGCCCTAAGAACTCCCCACTTTCGAGCGGCTCTCTGGCTCCCTGGGTCCCAACCTCAGCGCTGCCGGCGAAGGCGGCAGCCTTGGGTTCCGCCCTCTTCTTGGCCTCCAGAAGGGGGGGTAGGGTTTAGGGTTTAGGGTTTAGGGTTTAGGGTTTAGGGTTTAGGGTTTAGGGTTTAGGGTTTAGGGTTTAGGGTTTAGGGTTTAGGGTTTAGGGTTTAGGGCTTAGGGTTTAGGGTTTAGGGTTTAGGGCTCAGGGTTCAGGGTTCAGGATTTTAGGGTTGTAGGGTTGTAGGGTTTCAGTGTTTCGGGTTTTGGGGTTTAGGCCTTAGGGCTTCGGGATTTGGGGCCTGAAACAAGCAGACTCGAAGCTTTGTTGGAACCCCATACACTACAAGAAGAAGTCGTTTAGTTTGTTCGTGTAGTGAAGCTTAATTAGGATGATTATCCTCTATAACCCTAAACCCTAAGAATCTTCTGGGTACCTTCCTTTGCGTATTTGGGGGCTTGTCACAAACGAGACTGAAGCAGACCACCGATGCTTGAGTAAAGCCAGGTCGGCTTGTCAGAGCCGTGCCCATACTCTTTCATGAGAATGTGCTGTCTGGGGTTTAGGGTTTAGGGTTTAGGGTTTAGGGTGTCATCTTGCCGAACAAGAAGTTGAACGATGGATGACATTCCATCAGGCTTCCTGCAGGTTGTTCTAAAACCAAAAACACGCGCTTCGCGCGGGCCGCGCATGTACAGCAGCACACTGCCTCTTGCCGCGATTATGTTTCCGACGTAGACGCTCTGGAAGCGAGTGTCTCCCAGAGGACGATGTGGCAGCTCGCGACCTGGACACTCTACGCCATGCGCGACCTACAGCAAGGCCCGTAGCAGGCTCCTCAGGGTTCCTCGCCCCCCAGCCCCCCAGCCCCTCTGAACCCGCAACCCTAAACCCTAAACCCTAAACCCTAAACCCCTCTGAATCCTAAACCCTAAACCCTAAACCTCTATAAACCTCTATAAACCCCGATAAACCTCTATAAGCCCTAGACCCTTAACCTCTATAAACCTCCATAAACCCCGATAAACCTCGAAAAGCCCGAGACCCTTAACCTCTATAAACCTCCATAAACCCCGATAAACCTCTATAAACCCTAAACCCCAAACCCTGCAAGAGGAAAGGGAATAATAAGATGGGGCATCCTGGGCTTAGATTCCATCGGTTCAGGGTTTCGGAGGGTCTAGGGTTCAGGGGTGTGTAGTTCGGAGTTTGGTTTAGGGTTTAGGGTTTAGGGTTTAGGGTTTAGGGTTTAGGGTTTAGGGTTTAGGGTTTAGGGTTTAGGGTTTAGGGTTTAGGGTTTAGGGTTTAGGGTTTAGGGTTTAGGGTTTAGGGTTTAGGGTTTTGTGTGGTTTGGAGTCCGAGGCTTAGGAGCCGCCGAGATGGGGAAACAAACAGCCTGTGACACTGCCACAGCCCCAACCCCGCAACCTTCGCCCGAAGGCAGTGTATTTGAACCAGGACCCTCACCCCGGACCCCGCTGACTCTAACGCCTAACCTTACAACCCATACCCCAAACCTCCCAAACCCTCCCAAACCTCCCAAACCTCCCAAACCTCCCAAACCTCCCAAACCTCCCAAACCTCCCAAAAACCCAAAAACCCCCCCAACCCCCCCCCCCCCCCTCCCCCCCAAAAAAAAATCAAATAAACAAACCCAAACCCCCCCCAAACCCCAAAAAAACAAAATCCCCTCCCCCCCCTAACCCTCCCTAAATCATAAGCTGCAAGGTGGCCAGGCTAAGGCCCCGGCTACTGCAGTGGCTTCAGCCGCGGCCTCACCTCTCGAGTAGGGTTTAGGGGTCTATGGTTTAGGGTTTTGGGTTTCAGGGTTTAGGGGTTAGGGTTTAGGGCTTGGGGGTTTAGGGGTTTAGGGGCTTAGGGGCTTAGGGGCTTAGGGGTTTAGGGGCTTAAGGGTTTCGGGGTTTAGGGGTTTAGGGGTTTAGGGTTTTAGGGGTTTAGGGGTTTAGGGTTTGTCTGGTTTCGGGGTCTAGGGGATCAGGGCTTCCTTGCTTCGATGGTTTAGGGGCTTGGGGCTTGTAAGCAGGGCTGGCTTTATGGGCCCCACTTCTAGGAGCCAGCCATGGGATGTCGATGTCAGGTTTGACGGCTTGGGTTTAGGATTTCACCCTAAACCCTAAACCCTAAACCCTAAACCCTAAACCCTAAACCCTAAACCCTAAACCCTAAACCCTAAACCCTATACCGGAGTGGGGTTGGAACGCCTGGGTCCCGGGCGCTTCCGGCGTGCTTCGGCCGCAGCTTCCTCAGCGAGCCGAGCAGCCTGCGAGACCATGATGGATAGGGTTTAGGGTTTAGGGTTTAGGGTTTAGGGTTTAGGGTTTAGGGTTTCGGGTTTCGGGTTTCGGGTTGAGGGTTTAGGGTTGAGGGTTTAGGGGTTTCGGGTTGTTTAGAGTTTGGGGTTTAGGGTTCAGGGTTTAGGGCGTGTGTGGAGCTTACTTAGGGTTTAGGGCTCAGGGCGTCTATACCGTGTACTGTTTGGGGTCTAGAAACAGGTATCAATAGAGTTTTCTAAGTGCAGTACCTTCAGTTAGATCCCCGAATATCCGCCCAACTAAACAAAGGAGAGCCCTACCTACAACTGCCCCCTGTCCATGGGTCGTTCCCGTGACTAGGGTCCCTTATTGGTAACTATCTGCGCCTCTGCCAGGTTGGCTGCTTGGCGAATACCTGCAGTCTAGGGTTTAGAGTTTAAGGTTTCGGGTTTTAAGGTTTTAGAGTTCAGTGTCTAGGGGTGGAAAACGCAAAATCTCCAGAATTTCAAGGGTCTAGAGTACGGGTCCCTAAAGCAGGCCCTTAGTTTCGGGTCCTTGTCTGCCAATTCTACAAGCCTGTAGACAAGGACTGGTGCAATTTCTGGCTTAGGCTCGAAAGCTTTTAAGGTGTAGGGTGTAGGGCTGAGGGAAGTTTAGGACAGGGACCCCTTGAGCAGTGGCCCAATCCGGCTGAGGTTCTTGGGAGAGAAATGTGTTGCAACCGACCTGCCCTGGAAAAGAGTTTTTAGGGCGTGCCCATGCGGATTTGTGAAGTTCGGTATACCTTGTGCTCAACCCCCTTAAAACCAACCACTTGTTACACTCAACACTCAACACTAACCTCCGAATCCTGTAGCCCCAAACATCAACCCTGAACCCTTAACATCTCCCTAAACCCCAAACCCTCAACCCTCAACCCTCAACCCTCAACCCTCAACCCTAAACCCTCCGAGAGCCTTCAGCAAATCCTCAAGCCCACGCTGGCAAGGCCTTGTCCACGTCCTCCTCCCCCCGTGGCGGTTGGGGCCTGGAGTCAAAAGCTGGTCTTGACATTCGCGATGCAGGGGTTTAGGGTTTAGGGTTTAGGGTTTAGGGTTTAGGGTTTAGGGTTTAGGGTTTAGGGTTTAGGGTCTTTGGATTTAGGGCTTAAGGCTCTTGAAAGGGTTGTCACGAGGCCTTGTGGAACTCAAAGCAATGAGCCCTCCGCCCTAAACCCTGTTCCAAAGAACTTTCGCTCCTAAACGCTGAGGCTTCGACAAAACATTCGGAGAGTTTCGGAGAGTTTCGGGGGCTTTTGGGTAGTTTTGGAAGAGTTTGGGGCTTGGGGTTTGGGAAGCTCAAGGTATTCAAGAGGCCTAACCCTAAACCTAAACCCTAAACCCCAAACCCCAAACCCTAAACCCTAAACCCCAAACCCCAAAACCAAAACCCCTGCGAATGTTGAGGAGCTTTCGCCTCTTCCCACTGGAAGGGGCCCTCCGTCATTGCTGCGCAGAGGCGGCGGCTGTTGAATTCAGAATTTTTTCTTTGGGGAGGGGGGAGGGGGGGGGGGGAGGTTTAGGGCTTACTTAGGGCTTTAGGGCTTTAGGGCTTTAGGGCTTTAGGGCTTTAGGGCTTTAGGGCTTTAGGGTTCCCGAGGCCTTGGGTCTGAGGCTTCTTTAGGGATCGTGGGGCTGAGGGTGGGTTACCTAGGACTCACTTAGGGCTACTGAGGCAGCCAGGGTGGCTTTACCAGGGTTTCGAGGGTTTGAGGGCTGAGGAGGATCATCATGGGCTCCTGTGAGCAGCTGTGGCAAAGGTTGCAGTTGGGGGACACTGTTGAACAAACCCGGACCGGAGAAAGCCTCAGACCCCTACAACCCTAAAACCTGAAACCCTGAAACCCTGAAGCCCTAAAGCCCTGCGGCCCCAGACCCTGAAGCCCTAAACGCTAAACCCCAAAGCCCCGGTGCTCGGGCTCTTGTATGTTTGCCGGCTTATTCTCGGAGAACGCAAGGGGGGGCAATCTAAGGGATTCCCCCTTAGACTCCTGAGGGCCTGGGGTTTAGGCCGGATGCTTTAAAGGCATCTAAGTCCGTCTCAAGAGCCGGCCATGGTTGGAATATGGTTGGATGAGCAACATGAGCACAGCCTTGGATGTACGGGATGCGCTGCGCGCCCTAAACCCAGAGGAACCATGAAACCATCTAAACCCCTCATATGGAACTACCCCCCCTAAACGGACCCTGAACAAAATAGAAACAATCGAAAGTCCTAAACCCCTAAACAGCCTCCGTGTTGGCCAGAGAGCATGCTCAAATGCGTGAAGCTTTTTGAGCTTTGAATTTTAGAACGTGGGGTTCTAGTGCAGATACCCAGGCCGTAACTAGACCCCGAAGCCTCTAAACCCTAGACGCACATTTCTAAACCCTAACGCTAAACCCTAAACCCTCAACCCTACCCCATAAACACCCTAAGCGTACCCCAAACCTCAAAACCAGCCATAAAACCTGAAGGGCTAGAGGCCCAACACCTAGAGAACAGCTTGTTCCCTCCTAAAGCTGCACCTTGCTGGCTCCTTAGGTTTTAGGGTTTGGGTTTAGGGGTTAGGGTTTAGGGTTTATGGTTTAGGGTTTAGGGTTTAGGGTTTAAGGTTTAGGGTTTAGGGTCTAGGGTTTAGGGTCTAGGGTTTAGGGTTTAGGGTTTAGGGCTTGAGGTTTCGGATTTAGGGCCGGGGAATTCCGAAAAACCCTGAACCCGCGGCAAGCAGGCGGGGGAGGTCCTCACCTCGCAACCTTCGCCGCAGAGGCTACACTCGGAGGGGGCCACGAGGTCGTTGCCTGGTTCAGGGTTTAATATAGGGGCCTGAAGAATTAGAATAGGGCTTTGGGGGTTATTATCGAGGGACCACAAGGGATTACTATTGAAATTCAGGGTCTAGGGTCTAGGGTAAACTTTAGGTGAGGAGGGAAAGTTTAAGGAGATGCAAGGCTTGGGACTTTGAGGTTATAGTGAACGGTGTTTGGGTTCAGGGTTTTGGGGTTTAGGACTATAGGGGTGTCTTGTAAAGGTTTCGTTCCCAGGACGGTTGGCTTTCACATTTAGGGGCGTTTATTGATTTAAGGAGGCTAGAACAATGAAAAAGAGGTATGGTGAGAGTGGACAGCCCTGCCTGATCTTCTAAACTTGATCTCAAATGCTGCATAGCGACGTATGACTCGTATGACGCAATGCAAGCTGCCACAGTCATCAGATCCAGTGCTTCGCCGCTGGCACCAGTATTCAACGCGAAGATGCGAGCGGACCCTGGGCCTACAGTCCAGTCCTTCACGCCCTAAGGCCACAAGCGTATTGGGAACCCCACCCCCTCGGTGGTGTTTACCCTCATCAAAGGGGGGTACTTGAAGGTTCACGGTATAGCTGTACTTCTAACCCAAATTATAACCATACTAGGGTTTAGGGTTATAAAATCCTTTTTCGTCGAGCAGCCCGCCGGAAGACTACTTTCCATTACGGGGGGTTTTGGTGTGGGCCAATACCACCACATTTAAAGAATTTTTTCGGGAGGGTTCCAAAATCTGTCGGCATTCTTCTGGTTCTGCTTGCTGAGCTGCGAAGCTACCGCACCTCAGGCATCCGTAGCCTATTGCTTTTAATAGACAATCATTACATTGCCATGGTCTTATTAGTGCGGCGCCCTGCCTTTCTTATTCTGGTGGAGGGCCCCCCCCCCCCCCGCCCAATTAAACAGGTGCTCGGATTAAGAAGTGCCCGGAACCTCCAAGTATCCGGCGTCGCAATCAAGTCGTCGAGCACGACAGTATGGGAGCCATGAAAGTCACCGTCGGTCCAGGCTGTGCACTCTGTGTACTGGACTGTTGCATCATTTCTTAAGGTTCAGGGCTTAGGGCTTTAAGGGCCCTCAAGGCCCAAAGACTGCTACAAAGCACAGCATCTTCGAATACAGCAAGGTAATTCCCGATTTGTACCCACACCCTCAAGCCCGAACAAAAAACCCTAGGCCCTAGGCTGCAGCCCTAGAATCATAAACGCACGATGAACGCTAACTAAGCCATAAGCCCCAATCCCCCTCTCCAGAAGGGGGAGAAAAACAAAAACAACGAACCCTGAATCCCTACATGTGCCTCCCGCCCCGAAACGCTCGAAGAGCGTGGACCACAGCGCCCGATCCCCATTTACCTGCGCGGATGTAGGGCTTTAGGGTTTAGGGTTTCTTTGGATTTGAGGGCAATTGAGGGCTTCAGCGTTTAGGGCTTAGGGTCCAGGGTTTTCGGGCAACTTGGTTGCGGCTGGGTCAAGTTGGTTGCTTCGTCAGTTGTTCCCGAGGCTCTTCTGGGTAGTCCTCTGGTCCCCAGCTTCGCGGGCACGGTTAAGTCCTGAACCTCAAGGGGGTCACACTCAAGCCCCTAAGGATGTACTCCTAAGAGGTTCCCTGATCTACTCCTCATATGGCCCGTATATTCCCTTAGAGAGCCTGTAGTAAAACGGGGTCCCCAAACCCAAGGGTACAACCTTAGGGGGTCCAAGTCCCAAGAAAACCTTAAACCCTAAACCCCAAATCCTGCCAATCAGGGGGTGGGAATACTTGCTGGTAATCTTCCCTTACAGTCCCTTTGCAATTATGCTATCATAACCCCCAAAACCCTCTTCTGATTCTTCAGGCAGGCAGCCCTAAACCCTAAACCCTAAACCCTAAACCCTAAACCCTAAACCCTAAACCCTAAACTAATCGGGGGGAAGGGAAAAAAGAGGAAGGGTTGCCTTGGAATCAGCCTCATCTGCAACCCCAAAACCCATAGGGTTTGGGGTTTAGGGTTTAGGGTTTAGGGTTTAGGGTTACCTGAATTCCAAGTTTGGTGCTTCTACATTGACACCCGATTAACCCCCCCAACGCTGTTTAAAGGGTTTAGGGTTCAACACCCTAGAATCCACTGGCACCAAAACACCCCAATACTCCAAACCAGAAACCCCGAACTCCAATCCCCAAACCCAAAACCCCAAACCCTTAACCCTAAACCCCAAACCCTGAGCCCTAAACCCCAAACCCTACACCCCAAACCCTAAACCCCAAATCCAAAACCCGTGGACGACCCTTGTGGGGCCTCCGCTTTGGTGGTCTCGAGGCTCCGCCGGAGTGCCCTCAGTAGCGGCAGAATGGCCTGAGGCTGCTCGAGGTTCTCGGGCGTCTTTCGGGGTTTGGGGGGGGGGGGGGGGTTTAGGGTTAGGGTTTAGGGTTTTGGGTTTAGGGTTTATAGGGTTTATAGGGTTTAGGGTTTAGGGTTTAGGGTTTAGGGTTTAGGGTTTAGGGTTTAGGGTTTAGGGTTTAGGGTTTAGGGTTTAGGGTTTAGGGTTTAGGGTTTAGTTAGGGTTTGGGGCTTAGGGTGCCCTAGGCCTTGGGTCCAAGGCCCTGAACCTCTCAACACCTCAACCCCTCAAGCCTTACCCTACGCCTTAAACCGAACCCCTAAAAAACTAAAACCCAGAACGCCCCAGCCCTTTAGGCCCCAAGAGGATTTAGGGCTTAGGGTTTCTGAACCCCTAAACCAGCTGGCCTGCAGCCCGCAATAAGCTCGTCCAGAACCCTACTCCCCAAAAAGCCCTGGGGCCCTAAAACCCTAAACCCCTTAACCTCCCCAGAAGCCTAAACCCCCAATCTCCTTAACAACGACATCCTAAACCTTCAAGAAATATTCAAAAGACTAACCCATTCACCCGAAACCAGAAAAACCTCAAAAGGATCAACAGAATTGTATGTGGTATCATGAAGTGAGACAACCACAGAACAAAAAGCAACAGCAACGTGAAACGAACGGGACAACGCAACGCTCTGCGGACCTCCATGGCGAGCTGATTTGCCTTCGCCCTGACCACCCAAAGGGCTCACATCCTTTACCGCCTTTACCTGCGCGAGCATCTCGATGCGGGCCCTGTGAAGCTGCAGCAAAACGAGGCGAAAACACACGGGTAGAGGCCGGATGAACCACGCGTCGACGGCGCTGGAGAGGGGCTCGATCCCCGCTCGCACTGCGTCCACGCAGCATACCAAAGCGAGCACGGCTCGCACCGCTACCGCGTAGCGTACCACCGCGCGCACCGCTCGCACTTCTACCACGCCGTCCACGATCGTCACGTTGCCGCCGGGCGTGCCTGCCATCGGAACTGCTACCCCCACGACTCCGGCAGGTATCATGAATTTCCCAAGTTGTTTGTCTAAACAGCTGACAAGCTGAGCCTTCGGGAGGCCAAATAGTCGGTTCACTTGAACCGCTGGGGTCCAAAGAAAAGCGCCCGGAAGATTCCCAGCCTCCCCGCCTCCCCCGCCCCCTCCCAAAAAGCACAAAAGGCACAAAAGGTCGAGAAGACAAAGCAACAAACTGAAACCGATACAATTTCTATCAACCCTAAACCCTATAAACCCTAAACCCTAAACCCTAAACCCTAAACCCTAAGCCCTAAACCCAAACCCCAAACCCCAAACCCCAAGC